AAAAAAAAAAAAAAAAAAAATTGGACTGCGCAATTCGTAACAAAAGTCCAACACAAAAGAGTTTGCCTGTTATCCAGAGAGTGGCCAAGCCAAGGCATTTCATTTTTATTTTTTTATATATATTTTTTTTATATAAATATATATCTCTATATATATTTTAAGAGGCAAGGCCCTATCACTCTCTTTTTCCGTGTTTGCCGTGAAAACCTCAATCTGAGTCCTGATTATTTTTGCTTTATTGCAGTAGTGCCGTCAAGCCCTACCATGGCAGCCTCTTCGGTCACCCTCCCTTCAAACTGTAGCAGTACACACGGCATTTTCTCATTCTCACCTGCCAATGTCATCTCTGCAGTGAAACAAAAGAGCGCCTTCGCTCCTGTTGTCAGGCCCCAAGCCTCTCCTCCACCATCTTGCACCAGTGCAAATGGAAATGGACTTCAAGGTGAGCCAGATCTCTCTCAATTTTCTCTCTCTTGCTTCTTTTTTCTTTTTCCTCCTTTTTTTTTTTTTTTTTTTTTTTTTTTTTTTTTTTTTTTGGTGCTTTTTTTCTCAGGGGGAAAGGTACCCGGCTGGTTTTTCTGGTCCTCTCATGGTGATGCAAAAGCAGGGGGAGAAACAGGGTAGCGTGAATGGTCTCCTGAGATTTTCAGGTTTTTAGTTCATTTTTGATGCTTGCATTAGAGAAAACACCGGTTGTTTTTCTGGCATTTTCCCTTAGGAGTTTGTGCCTTAAATTTTAAGGGAAGACTGTATCCCTGAATGCCTCTTGCAGGGTTTGTGTACTCCTGGTGTTTATGTGTTTTCTGAACACATTTCTGTGGATGTTTAARCCCAGCAGTGTTCTGGCAGGACGTGGTGTGATTTTCTCGCTCTGTGTAGGGTGCAGCAGTGATTTTAAATATGTCAGGTTAATAAAAGTGAGGTTTCTCAGAGGACCAGGATTCCCTGGACTAGTCAGCCCTGTGCAGTGGTTTGGTGGCCCCAGCTCTTACTGTGGTGTTTGGATGGTTACATCCCTAAATTAACTAAATAATTAGGGCAGGCAATTTTAATATTTTGCCTTTTATTTTTTTTTTTAATCTGTTTGGTTTCATGTGGGTAATGGAAAAAAAAAACCTGATGTATCAGTGGCAGAATATCCATGGCCATCAGGAAGGAGTGAGGCGGGAAGAATTACAACATGGTGTGCCAACAAAAATACAAATTCATCCTAAAAAGGAAGACTCATGGCCTGTTTTACCCCATTTAGGGGGTGTTTTACGATGCAAAAGAGATGGCTGTGGGTGCATTTGGATCATTGGGGAGGTTTGTTTGCCTCTGRTGGAGTCTTAGTGCTCAGAGCAGTGAATTGAAGCGTTTGAGATCCCATTGAGATCAGGAAAGGTTGAGGATTCTTCATCCCCGAGGTCGGTGCTCCTCGACATCCTCAGCTGAGCAGCAGCAGCACAGTGACATATAATACAAATAAAAAGTTATTTATTCTTTGTAACACCATGATGTCTGTAATCCAACCAGCACTCACAGGTAAACAGATGAGGGATATTTTAATTTCCCAGACTCATTCTGGACCCCTGCATTTTGTGGGGTGCTGAAGGTGCTTTGGAGARACATCATCCTAATCCCACAGACCTGCCTGTCCACCCTAAATCCACTCCAGAATCTCAAAATGAATTTTCTTCTCGGTTGCTGTTAACTTCCTGGCCCAACAAAAATACATCTGAGACCTTGTTATGCACTCAGGGCAACGAAGAGTTGAGAATCCAGATACACAAACTTATTTTAGCATGAATATTAAAGGAAAGGATAATTAAATTAACATTTTTTTACTTATTTCTTTAGTGGAAGCTTCACTGTGTTACTACTGTAAGTAGAAAACTATACCCATATTCTTAGAAGAGATAATCCATTCATAAGATAATCCAGTGTCCTACTTTCCTCTTTTTATAAAGACACTGGTATGAAAAGTAAATACTGAAATGAAATAATGAAAATAAAAGATAAGAATAAAATAATAAATATAAACCAATAAAAATACAATATTAAATACAGAACAATAGTAATAAATTAAATTAATATATATAAAATAAAAATTAAAATTAATAAAAAAGTGGTAGCATGTCTTTGATCTGAGGCAGCTCTTCTGCAGCAGATATTTAATATTTATATTCGTATCAACTAATTGATTTTGATTTACTCTGAAAAGCACAATTATCTAAAGATCTACATTAAAATGATYTGAATTTTTGCCATTTCACTATATGAATAAAGGCCTTCCTCTCAGACACTCAAGGTTTTAGGTGCTTAGAAGCTCCAGATTACAGTAAAGTGGGGTTTTTTTGAGAACTGGGTGGGCTGAATGCCTGACGGAGTACCCAATGTCCCCTGGCACCTCCCCAAGCACCACTCACCGCACATCTCCATCCTCAGGTACAAAATSCTTTTTTGTACAAAGCTCAGAAGATGGCTTGGAATCAGATTTTGTTAAATAGGTCATGAATTTAGCTCTTAAGCTGAGCTCAGCCTTGCTTTGCACTACGTTYTTCCATGCCCAGAGAGCCCAAGACTCAACAATACCTTCACCCTGATTTTTTGCTCCATTCCCAGCAGCAAAACTGCTGTCATCCTTTTGGGTTTGGGATCAGCAACTGAACTGAAAATCAGGTGTTGAAAGTAAATAGATAATAAATAGATAAATAAATAATTAATTAAACAGAGCTGAGGGGCAGGACAGGGATGAGTTTATCAGCTCCTTCCTTCAGCAGASATCATCAAGAAAAGCCACCAACACTCCTGTGTTGGTCCTTATTCRCACTGCCTTTGATACATTGAGTTCATTAGGGATCTTCTGCTTCTTCCTTCCTATTTTTCCAGTCGTTTGTTGACATTGAACTCTTTTTAAAGTTTAATTAGTTTCTTTCTGGACTCTGTACAATCAMCTCAAGAGTTTTCTGATCAGCACATTTTCTACATTAAATTAAAATATGGAATTTGAGAGAGCAGCCCAAAGCAGCTGAAGTTTTTTTTTTTTGTGATCTTTGAGTACAGAGCCTCATTACAGAGCAGGATGTGAAGGAGCTGAGTGACAGCTGAGGAGGTGGCACTGCTGGGAATGGTCACATTCAGGGAAACCAAGAGGGCAGTAAGAGCTYGTGGTGTTGTATCAAAGACAAATCCTGCAGTTTATGGATAAGAATAGACGAGGATTCAGACAGGGTGCACCTTTTGCAGGGATTTGGGGTTTAAATGCCCCAATCCCTGGGGGTTAAAGCACTTGTACAGTGTCTCTGTGTGGGTTGAACACTGCTTGAGGTACATCTTAGATGGGGAGAGCAGGAGCAGAACTGAGCAGCTYCACCTGAGCCTCAGGGGGTTGTTTTGTCTCCTAACAAAGTATAAAAGTGAGGCTGAGCTGCTCTGCCCTCTGGCTTGTGCTGATGTCACCCTGAGCACCAGGACCCCAAACCCACCACAGCAGAAGGGAGACTTTGCTGCCATAAGCACGACCCCAAAGCCCTCTCTGTGCTGTAGGGTCTCCTGCCCCAGAGTGAGCATGGAGAGGTCTGCAGAGGTGACTTCTTCTCTGAAGAGATCCAAAGTATCTCCAGTGGAAKGTGTCCCTGCTCTYGGTAGGGGATTGGACCTCCATGGTCCTTAAGATCCCTTCCAACCCAAACCATTCTGGGATTCGATGATTCAGGGATGAACACAGAGGTTAAGGATAAAAAGGACAATCTGGGGAGATCTCAGAGAGGTCAGGGATGTATCAGTGGCAGAATATCCATGGCCACCTGCAAGGAGTGGGGCAGGAGGAATTACAACATGGTGTGCCAACAACCAAGGAGGTTATGAGCCAGGGCTGATGTTTGCTCCTTCCCCTCGCTGCCCCTGTGCCAGCTGAGCATCCATCATCACCCCCTGCAAAATGCAGCTCTTGGAGGAGACACCTCTCCCTCTGCCGTCCCCAGGGYGTGACTCACTGCTCTGAGTAAGCCTGCAAAAAATGGGCTTTTGGGCCCTGTCCAAAAAGCCACAATCTTGTTGACTCTGCATGACCTCCACAGTCTATGACCAGAAAGTCAAGTACTCACACAATTTTTTTAAGAGCAGGATCCTACCGTGTGTGTTCCTTAGGGCAGAGAGCCTTTTCCTGTTTAAAACAATGAACATTTAAGGTAGAAAAGAAATTTTTCAGTGAGAGACTACTGGCTCGCTGCGAAGTTGGAAGTACAATATGTGCTCAAAATTTGCTTTTCAATCGTAATTTACTTTCTATAGATTGTGAAAGATATTGCTCTCTGGTTATAGGRCTGTAATGCAGAGCAAAAGGCTCTCTATATTCTTTTAAAATTGCATCCTGCTTAATTTTCTGGTCTTCCTCCAGATGAAAGTATTAAAATTATTATTAAAAAACTCGCCAGCTCATTTTTCTTTAAGAAGGCGTTTGGTATCAATTTGCACAGCAGGAAGCTCAGTGCAGAAATTCACAATTGACAAAGATTGCCACTAAAATAAATCGTGAAATACACGTCTGGAGCAACAACCCTGCACCTCCCCTCTAATTGTRCCACAAAAAGAGTTCAACAGAAATGGTTAAATTAAAGAATTGCGGTCTTTTTTCTTTCCCCCAGAGAGACATTGGCAGCAGATAATCTAAATTTTCACACAGCAGAATCCCAGAATAGTTTGGGTTGGGAGGG